AAAAGAGTCTTTGGTATTCAGGGCCGTCTCAAGAACATTTATGACCCTAGGCAAGAATTACTTTAGGGCCTTCTAATAATATAAACATATATTAAAAAAAATATTTCAAATTTGTTTTCTTGTCTTTTGAGATGCAAAATCACTAGGAGAGGTGGACGGCGATCGACAGGCTAACTGGGTCAGGTTGGTGGGGGGTTTTAGAGAGCAAATGTTGGAGAAACGATGGGTGATGAAATAAGTAATTTCCAATGTCTGGATTGGCTAGAAAAGGCTTGAGAAGTCGCAACCCAAAAGGTTTCGGTGGCCGGCGATTTGATGGAGTAAACATATGAGGTATGATAGGGATTTTGGTGAAAGGGTTGAGGAGAGGAAGATGGTGGTGTCAGGGAAGGCCAACAATGTCGGGTACATGCTGAAAAGGTCGAAAATGGATGTCGTGCATGATGGAGTTGGGTTATGAGATTCGTAAAAAATCGGTCAAATCGAGGGCTATCAAGGCTAGAAAAACACTTGAGAAAATGATAAACTAATGATTCCAGTCAATTTTGATGAGAAAATTGATGGGAATGAACTCCAAACGGCTGGTGGCGAAAGAGGGGTGGAGATAATTTATGTGAATGTCGAAATTTGGGATGGAATTGGGGTTGAGTAATTTGAGACATGTGAATGACTATTTTAGTCTTTTATTGTTAAAAGAAATTTAATTTGTTAATTTAGGGGTTTAAATTGGAATTTATGAAACTAGAGGTACAAACTTATATTTTATCAAACTTTGGGTGGGAATATATGTAAAAAATTTATAATAAATTTGGGTCTTTTTGGTTTTTTTTTTTTTTCTCCTTGGCCTGGATAAAAAATCATACACCATTTTTATTTTTGTAATATATTAAAAAATTATAAAAAATTTGGGCCCCTATTTTTTGGGGCCCTAGGCATAAGAGTCTTTGGTATTCACAAGGAAATAATTAACATGGTACAAGGAACTCACTCGGTTGCAGTATATTACAACAAATTGAAAACTTTATGGGATGAACTCAATTCATCGGTAAGTTTACCATCACCTAATAGTGAATCAGCTAAAGCCTATTTGGCACATCTTAATCAACAAAAACTACTATAGTTCTTGATAGGACTTAATGACTCATATGCATTGGTGCGAAGCCAAATCCCGTTAATGGTTCCCTTACCTTCTGTCAAACAAGCTTACTCAATAGTAAGTCAAGATGAAAGCCAAAAGGTCTTGACTGGATTTAATCATAACACTGAAGTTGCTACAGCACTTTACTCATAAGGGAATCAGAGAAATCAGACTCAGAGTTCGAAATATAAAGGGAAGAAGCTCTATGTTGAATGTGATTACTGTCATATAGCAGGATATAAGAAGGATAATTGTTACATATTGTATGGATATCCAACATATTTTCAATTTACCAAGAACAAGTCAGGATAAAAAGCTAAAGCCAATCAAGTTCATTCAAGTCAAGAGTCAGCTTTACACACTGAATCAGCAACTGAGAGTAGCAAAGAAGGACTTAGCTTAGGCAATGTTTTGACTCCAGAGCAGTATGCTCAATTGATTCAGTTGCTGGGAAAGGAGAACCTGGGAGCACCATCAGCTAATCTGGTAGGTAAGATTGTTTCCCTATATTCAAACTGTGATATTATTGATGATTGAATTCTTGACTTGGAGGCCACTGACCATATAACTCATAGTATCCAAAATTTTGCAACCTCAGTCACTAGTAAACCATATATGCCTGGTTATGTTAGTCTCCCAAATGGAACAAAAAAAATCAATTCAACATGTCGGTTCTGTCAGCCTACAAGAAAATTTGTCACCGGATAATGTCTTATACATACCAGATTTTAAGTACAATTTGTTGTCAATTTCTAAGTTAGCCTCTGATGGTCAGTGTTCTATCATATTTTATCCGAATTTTTGTGTGATCCAGGATCTTTGGAGTGGCAAACTAAAGGGGATTGATAAGCAATACCAGGGACTATATCACTTCATGCCAATATCGAAAATCAACTTGTATTTTCCTGGTTTTGTTTCAGCTTTAAGTAAGAATTTGTAAATCAAAGTTTCTGATTGTAATAGAGAAACAGACCGCAAATCTCTCAATGTAGCTACTGATTCTTCAATAAAAACATTGTCTCAAACTAAGGTTGTTGTTCTTCGGCACAAGAGATTAGGACATGCTCTTTTATCAACTTTGCAAGAATTGTATCATCGTTTTAATAATCATCACAAATTTTATTGTGAAACTTGTCCTTTAGCCAAACATACTAGATTATCCTTTCCTTCCAATAACACTGCCACATCTCATGTGTTTGAACTGTTGCATTTGGATGTCCGGGGTCCTTACAAGGTTGTCACTCAAGGTAACGCAGGGTTTTTTCTCACTATGGTAGATGATTTTACTATAACTACATGGCTTTTTCTGCTGCAGTTCAAGTATGATGTATTCCAGTGTTGAATGGTGATACCATGCTGGAAATGATGAAGTTAATGCATAGTGGGAGTTGCAAGATTTTGGCGCCACGGTTTGAAATGCTACTGTGCATGAAGAAGTTGTTTTTGGTCACAGTTTAAGAAATATTTTAGTGATGTGTTTAGGTGAATTAGGTTGATAAAATGATGTATTTTGATATGTTTGTACGTGCATTAGTTGGAGTGTTTGGTTTAAATTTTAAATTTGCAGCTTAGGTGGAACAGTGGCGTGTGCTTTGTATAAATCTACCCCTGTTTTTTGAATGTAAAACAGAGCAAATTTTAGTTCAGATTTTCTCTGTCTACAGCTCTCTCTCACGTCAGTTTTTGGTCCTCTTTCCTTAGTATACTCTAGCTCTAAAAACTAACAAGTGGTATCAAAGCTGTTGTGATCTTTCAGGACTTGGAAAAACAAAAACCTTTTAACAAAACTCAACACCATAGGTAATCATCTTCATGACAGCAACTCCAGCTTCACTTTCTCCACCCATCTTCAATGGAGATCAGTTCCATGTATCGACTGTCAAGATGAAGACTTATTTAAAAGGCCATAGGTTGTGGCAATACGTGGAGGAGGAGGAGAAGCAAGTTCCTCAGTTGGGAGCAAACCCCACACTGAACCAAATCAGGATTCATGAAGAGGAGATGTCTAAAGCACCAAGGGTCCTATCTTACATACACTCAACAGTGACAGACCAAGTCTTCACCAGGATTATGGCATGTGAAACTCCTAAAAAGGCTTGGGATAAGCTTAATAAGGAGTTTGAGGGCAACAATACAACACGCAACATGCAGATTCTAAACCTGAGAAGAGAATTTGAGATGCTTAAGATGCAAGATGTTGAGTCTGTGAAGTAGTATGTGGATAAGTTGATGAATGTGGTGAACAAGATTAAGCTACTTGGTGAAAAAGTTGACTGACAAGAGGATAGCAGAGAAGGTTTTGGTCAGTTTACCTGAGAGATTTGAGGCAAAAATCTCTTCACTTGAAGACTCTAAAGACCTGTCCCAGATCAGCTTAGCAGAACTTGTGCATGCTCTTCAAGCACAAGAGCAGAGGAGGTTGCTGAGGCAGGAAGACTCAAGTGAAGGAGCCATGATAACAAGCCAAAACAGAAGGTATGCTAGAGAGAAGGGAAATGAGGAAGTTAACAACGAAGGAGAAAAAAATGCGGGACTAAGAACCTTTCCTCTTTGTCCTCACTGCAAGAAAAAAAACCACTCTGAAAATAGATGTTGGTTCAGGCCTGGCATACAATGCAGGTCTTGTAAGCAGTTTGGACATATAGAAAGGGTGTGCAAGAACAAATGAGGGCAACAGGAGCATCAATCCCAGACAATAGAGAATCAACAGCAGACTCAAGAATTTGAGCAGTTGTTTATGGCTTCAGGATGTGTGGCTGATTTTGATCAAGAGGTGTGGTTAATTGACAGTGGTTGCAGCAATCATATGTCACCAAACATATCCAATTTCATGAGCTTAGATCAAAGTTACAAGTCTAAATTTAAAGTGGGAAATGGAGAGCTGCTGGAGGTCAAAGGCAAGGGAAATGTTTCTGTCCAAACCAAGTCAGGTACCAAGATTATATCTGATGTTTTATTTGTTCCTAAAATCAGTCAAAGCCTACTTAGTGTAGGACAAATTCTGGATAGGAATTACTCTCTTCATTTTAAAAACTCAGCATGTGTCATTATGGAATGTGATGGGAATGAGTTAATGAGAGTTAAGATGCAAAGAAAAAACTTCCTGTTAGAGTGGGGAAAGGTTGTTTTTCAAAACCATTCAGCTAACATAGTTAGTAAAGATGTTAAGGTGGACGAATGTGCTGTTTGGAACTGTAAAAAAAATCGGGTTAAAGTCAAGCTAAACTTCCAGCAAGATAGAATGCCCAAAAGTCAGATTGAAGAAGTGAATTTAGATGAAGTTCCAGTCAGAGGTACAAAGCCAATATCTAAAATTTATGAGAGGTGCAATGTTCTAACTCAACAAGCTACAATGAGGCAGTCAAATCTGATGCTTGGAGAAGCTGCAATGAAGGAGGAGTTCTTTTTAATAGAGAAGAACAGGTTGCTGATATAATGACTAAGCCATTGTCCAAAGCCAAGTTTGAATATCTTCAGTTCAGAGTTGGTGTTTCCAACAATGATATCAAAGAGGAGTGTCGAATGGTGATACCATGTTGGAAATGATGAAGTCAACACAAGGTGGGAGTTGCAAGATTTTGGCGCCACGGTTTGAAATGCTACTGTGCATGAAGAAGTTGTTTTTGGTCATTGTTTAAGAAATATTTCAGTGATGTGTTTAGGTGAATTAGGTTGATAAAATGATGTATTTTGATATGTTTGTACGTGCATTAGTTGGAGTGTTTGGTTTAAATTTTATATTTGCAGCTTTAGGTGGAACAATGGCGTGTGCTTTGTATAAATCTACCCCTGTTTTTTGAATGTAAAACAGAGCAAATTTCAGTTCAGATTTTCTCTGTCTACAGCTCTCTCTCACGTCAGTTTTTGGTCCTCTTTCCTTAGTATACTCCAGCTCTAAAAACCAACATCCAGACTTTGAAGAATTTTTTGCAAATGGTTCAGAACCAGCTCTTTAGTCTAGACTTCTAGTAAGAACCTTGACGGCAATCCTTACTCCATTTGGAAACTGACCCCTTGTAGACAGCACCAAAACCTCCAGAACCCAACCTAGTTGAGTAATTATTTGTGAAAGAAGAGAGCTGTTGTGCTGTGAATCTGACCAGCTTGTCCCTTGCCATTTCTTGGAGGAAATTCTCCAAGGTGGGAGCAGTAACCTCCCATACCGGAACCGCGTTGGTGTTGTGGGGCCTGTTGTATGCAGCGATCACTATTGGTAAATCTTCCACAATCACTTTTCTGCCATTCTTTGTGCATTTATAAGCAATAAAACCAATTATTCCAAGCCCAACCAAGCTCGATATAACAGCTGCAGTTAATGTTTATCATTTCAAGTAATGAGAATTTAAACAAAGCTACTATTAATATCATGAATAATATTGTATAACATACTATAGTAAGAATTCAAACAAAGTAACTGTTGATATCATCCCATAATATATATTATTCAATTCATTCCATCGCATATTGAAAGGAAGAAAACTTACAGATGATTATCCAAGTAGTGGCGGTTTGGTTGAAGTTTTTTTGAACTTCATTAATATCTGGGGTAGGCGGATTGAGAGATGATGCCATTGATAGTTAAAAACTGTTAAAAATTACAAATATTGAAGATCAGAAAGAGAATAACACAGAATGAAAATATCCCAGAAAATCTGCTTGTAAACAAATTAAAGACGCAAAAACCTCTTGCAAATGTTCCTTTGTTTATGTTCTCCGCTGTCCTTAAGTTAATCTTAACTACAAGAGGAAAAGAGGACGAAGTTTCGAACAAAGTTAAAGAATTTGTAATTTTAATACTACGGAACCTTGATTGAGAATAGCATATAAAGAATGAATCACTAAATAACTTTCAAACACGTCTCAAAAGTCAAGACCACAATAAAATAAAAAATGGTCACCTCTACTTGGCACCTCACGCAGTTGGCTTCTAAAATATGAACCAAAGACACTGCAGCAGAAAAGTCTTCAGAGCTAGCAAGCTGAACAAATTTGCCTCGTCATGTTCTTTTACTTGAATTTGTTAAGGATGAAGTGGTTGATTATTGGCCAAGCAATTGAAGTAATTGTGTAATTGTACAGACTGTCAGGATTATAAATAAAGGATTGATTTAAGATATTTCGACTGGTTTTCATTATCAAGCAAACCGCCGAATATGAAGTCAAACCTCAACTTCATTAATTAAAGATTTTCTTAGGCCGAACCATATGTACTCATCCATAGTTTGTCATAAAGATAATTTAGGCCAAATGACTTGCGCATACCTAAGGTTTATTAAAACAACAAGTTAATACCCAAAAAGTTTTAAAATGACAAACAGATATCTTCCGTCATGTGCTGTTAGTGATTTCTGTTTGTTAAAAGTGAAAAGACTAAAATGCCCTTGAAGTTTGATATTTTAGTTTTTTAAAAATTTCTAAAAAACCCCCTAGGTTTGCTAATTTAACTAAACACCCCCATATATAAAAAGTTTGTTAAATGACAAAAACACCCCCACCAGCTGCGACCAGATTCCGGCCACCACCGCCAGAATATGGTCGAAAATTGCGTTACGACACAGACCCCGTCAGATCTGTGTCGTAACGCATCGATCTGGCTGTCGAGATAGCAGATGGAGTTTTGCGGCCTTTTTCGGCCAGATCCGTGGGGGATCTGGCCAGAAAATGCCAGATCTACCGCTAGATCTGGCCATCGTGGCTGCAAAACTCCATCTGCGGCGTCAACGGCCAGATCTTGCCGTAGATCTGGCTTTTTTCGGCCAGATCAGCCACGGATCTAGCCGGAAAAGGTCAGATCAGCTTGTTACAACACAGATCAGACGGGGTCTGTGTCGTAACACAATTTCCAACCAGATTTCGATGGTGGTGGCCAAAATCTGGCCGCAGCTGGTAGGGGTGTTTTTATCATTTAACAAACTTTTTATATATATGGGTGTTTAGTTAAATTAGCAAACCTAGGGGTTTTTTTAGAAATTTTTAAAAACCTAAAATATCAAACTTCAAGAGCATTTTAGTCTTTTCACTGTTAACAAATAGAAATCACTAACAGCACATGACAGAAGGTACATGTTTGTCGTTTCAAACCTTTTGGGTACCAACTTATCGTTTCGACAAACCTTGGGTATGCACAAGTCGTTTGGCCGATAATTTAATACTTAAAAAGGTTTGAAAATGACAATTATCTACAATTTTTTCAACTCTGTTAGCAAAATCCGTTTAATTCAAGATAATATAATAATTTTATATTCATTAATTTTAAATTAATCTATAAATCCCTAATTTTTTATCCTATTTTTTTATTTCGTTTTTCTCTTCTCACTCTCATCTTACTTCTTTATCTCTTCCTTTTCTTTCTTTTTCTCCGTCTTTTCCCTCCTCACCTTCCATCTTCCTTTTTTTTACTTTTTTTCTCCCTATTTTCCCTTCTCTTTCTTTCCTTTCTTCATCGTCTTTTCCTTTACCTTTTGTTATGTCTAGGAAAATAAAGGGCTGACGTGGGAAAGTCATGTGAGGGGTGACCTGCTCCCGTCAGAGCGACACGCACACGTCAGACCTGCCAAATGATATGGAGCTCACACGCGTCCATTTCCATGCAATAAATTGTGCGAAGTCAGCTTGGGAAGGGGGAAATGGGACGTAAAGCCGGATTATATCCTGACAATCACACCAACCCATGGATTTAATGATGATTACACGCTTCAGTTTGATATAAAATGAAGAAGACCCCTTCATTAAGGGGATTCGGCCATTTTTACATTGAGAAAACTCTCTCTCTCTCTCTCCTGTAAACACATTTACTTTTTTTAACTTTTTTGTAAGTCAGTCTGCTTTTGCGACCTGACCCACACTAATATCAATACAAATCAGTGGACGTAGGACTTGCTACCTTAGCATCCGAACCACTTTAAAAGCTTCCTTTGCACTTATTTCACTTTTTGAATTCATTATCACGTGTGTTTATTGGCCAATCAGCGTTACGCACGTGACAATTCGTTGGTGCCAAAAATACAGCATCAACAGTTTGGCGCTAGAAGGAGGGCCCTGATTTAGTGTCTACCCTTCATCAGGAGAATCTTTGACCTACTGGTCTTGCAGCAACAAATGGCCCGCCAATCTAAACCTGAGCAGGTCAACCAGCGTGCTGAAGGAGTCCCCCTAGCCTAGAGGGACACCCCTTCCAACATATCTCCAGTTTCGCAAAATGCTGCTGGGAATATCCCGACAGCTTCGCAACTGGACCCCGCCATCAGAAGCTACCTGGAGAGGTTCGACAATACTCTCCAGACGGTCAACCAGAAGTTGGACCGTTTGGACCAAGGCATGTCATCTACGACAGCCGGAACGGTACAACCGCCAAAGATGCCTGCAGGTCGCGCGAAGGCTCGGCAAAGGGCGATAGCCCGTGCCGCGAGCACTGCAGCGCGTAGGCGCAAGGGTAAGCAAGTGGCAAAAAGTAAGCCTACGGGCTCCCAAGGGCCAGCGAATACAAAAGGCGCCCCGAGCAGGGTGTCAGCAAAGCTGAGACTCGGTGAAAAAGTGAATCCCGAGCTGTCCCATGCCACGTCGCAGGCAAGCCCAAGCAAAGATGCTGGACGCGGTGATTCCTATCACCACCAGCAGAACGATCCCGATCGTTATGCGGGTGGCTCCCACACCTCGCGGGGCGGTTCGTACCACCGCGAGGGTCGTGAAAATGCCCAGCACAACCCATCGCCTTCGCACGCCTCTAGTCAGCGTGTGTCAAGTGCGGCCAGAAATGTCGGCCGAGGCAAGGAGGAATCCAACCTCCAGACTTTCCTGAACCGCAACCGAGAAGGCAGGGCTCGCACGGGTGAAAGCAACCCCCAATTGGCTCCATTACCACAAATTGAGGAGCTGCAGCGAGCTCTGGACAGGTTAAGGGAGCAGCAAAACGAACAGGCGCAGGTCGCCTTTACATCCCCTTTTTCTCCGAAGTGCTAGCTGCTCCACTTCCACCGGGGTTCAGAATACCAGATATGCGGCCGTTTGATGGAAACTATGATCTGCATGATCACTTATATGAGTTCAACGACCTGATGGAGCTCCACCAGGTTTCGGATCTTGCAAAATGCCGTTGTTTGGCCGTGACTTTTACTTCTCACGCCAAACGGTGGTTAAGGTCACTCCCAGCGGGATCGATCAGTTCGTGGCCTCAGATGAGCACGATGTTCCTGCGGCATTTCCAAGCCAATCGAAAATTTTCAATGCCTTTGAGCTACCTCAGCAGCATAAGGCAAGAAAGAGACGAATCCCTGCAGTCTTACATTGACCGCTTCCATAGGGAACTCAACAAAGTGGCTCACGCTCCAGAAGAGTCTATCCGAACTCTTATAATAGCTAGAGTTCGCCCGCAAACTGACCTGTGGAAAGAACTGCAGGCTGAGGACGATATTTCCCTCACCAGATTCTATAACCTGGCAAAAAAGTATCTCCGAATAGAGAACTCGCTGGCGGCACTCCGTCGTCGCGATCACGACACTTCCAGCAGTACGCCTGGTCGGGGAGATAATAGGCGAGCTGATCGCAAAGGAGACATTGACGATCAGCGAAAAGGGAAGAAACCCCGCTACGAGCAGAAAAAGTCCTATGCTCCTGTTCCTCGTCGCGACCACGACGGGACTCAATACACTCCGCTGAATGTGTCCATATCTGCAATCCTCAATAAATCCGAGGAGGCCAGCCTGCTCGGTGAGCCCGAACCCATGAAAACCCCTGCTACGGCTAGAAACAGCAAAAAATACTGCCGTTACCATCGGGATAATGGGCATCTCACTGATGAATGTCGAGCTCTAAAGCAGGCTATCGAAGAGCTCATCAAGAAGGGGCACTTCAAGGAGTACATTGATGACTCCCCAAAAGAAAACCAAGGGGAGCGAAAGAAAAAGCGCTGTGATCGCAGCGAGTACGACAGTGTTAACATAATTTTCGGAGGCCCGCACCTCGCGGGAAACACGCGAGGAGAGCAGGAAAGATATGCTCGCGAAGCGCACAATGACCCGATCAGGGTAATGAACACTTCGCAGCGACCTCAAAAGGCCAAAAAAGAGGAACCAATCACCTTCTGCGAGAAAGAGGCAGCTCGCTTGCACCATCCTCACGAAGATGCTCTGGTGATCACGCCCCTCATAGGGTGTCATAATGTCTGCAGAATGCTCGTAGACAATGGAAGCGCTGTAAACATTCTGTTCAAGTCCGCTTTCGATAGAATGAACCTAGTCGAGGCCGACCTGAAGCCAGCCTCGATGCCTCTGTACGGTTTTACAAGGGATCACCTGATCCTCAGTGGAACAATCCAGCTCCCGGTCACGCTCGGCGACTACGACGAGGTGACTAGGGTTACCGAATTCTTGGTCGTGGACTGCCCATCGGCCTTCAATGGAATCTTGGGGCGACCTCTGCTGAGAACCTTCAGGGCAGTCACCTCATTTCTCATATCAAGGATGAAGTTCCCCACTCCAATAGGGATAGAGGGAGGTAAGCGGATCGCAAAGCGCATCTCGCGAATGCTATGTAAATCGGTCCCAATGGCCGACAAGGGAAAGGGCATTTCGCGATGTGCGCCCCGCCAGGCTATGGCGATCAGCCGGATCGAGCCACAGCCTGGTCCGACGGAGGATAACATAGATCCGCGAATTCAAGAAATCCCCCCAAGAGGCCCGGTTGAGGATCGTCCGAAGTTTCGGTTGATCCAAAAGAGCCGAGCCGAGTACTAAAGATCGGAAGCTGTCTCAACCCTCAGCTCGCTTTCGAGCTGGTAAGTTCTTGAAGGAGAACATTGACGTATTTGTCTGGTGCACGAGATATAGTCGGGATCAGCCCGGACATTATTTGCCATCACTGAACGTCAGCAGTGAAGCCA